TTTGTCTGTCTCACACCCAGGTGAGGTATCAGAGGAAAAACAAACTGAGAAACTCATTGTCATTCAGTAGTACTTTAGATTTCAATCTTCCCAATCCACCTGCTACCCTTTGCTTTTTGTTTGTTTGTTTTGGGCACTGGGGATCAAACTCAGGTGCCTGCAAGGCAGGTAGCAGAACCACTGAGCTAAATCCCTGGCCTTGCTACCATTTGCTATTAAGAGTCCTGAAGTAGCTTTTCCATACTGCCCAGCCAAGTTAGATAGCTGAATTCAGTGAGAGAGACAGGACAGACTTACTCCATTTTTCCTGGAACTGGAGTTTCAATGCTTTTTGTCTGGTGGCATTGCCTATTTTCTCCTTTTGAAACTCCAAAAGATATTATAATTGTCATTGTAACTATTAATATCAATTTGAGTTTTTCCACAGATTTACCTTTTCCAATGTTCTTCATTTCTTCTTGCAATTCCATAATTTTATCTGGGATCATTTTCTTTTATCAGCTCTGTTGATAATGGGTTTCTTACATTTGTTTAAAAACATCTGATCTTTACAATGAATATAGCAGTCAAGTTTGGCAGTATCTCTCCCACAAAATATAACTGTAGTCTCGTTCTCTCTTCTCCTAGATCTCCAATTACAACTAAGTCAGACTTTTCACTTTATCATAGTAATCATATTTTCTTTTCTATATTTCTCATCCTTTTAATTCTATGGATCATTATTATACATTACTCTGGATACTCAATATTAACTTCTGTTTTAGTTTATTAATCCCCTGTTCTGCAATCTAATTCTTACTTTATTATCCTATTCTTATCAATTTATCTATCTAATTCTTGTTATTGGTCCACTCTTTCCCAAATTCTGAATTTTGATTTAAATCCTCTGTATAGATTCCAATTTTTTGTTAAAATTGTGTTTTTCTCGGTTACTTTTTAACCTTTTATTTTTAGCCCCTCTCAGATGAATCAGAACTCTAAATAACTTGCAGGTCCATTTCTGTGTTCTGCCGTTTCTCTTGTTGAGCCTTGTTTTAGGATTCTCTTTTCCCTTTCTCTGCCCTATTTCCTCCTTTTCATCCTATTCCGTGTTTGGTATAATGAATGACAGTCTGCAGATCTCCTGAACGATGTTATATTCCTTCCAAGGGGGTTGAGTTTTCTTTTGATTTCTAAATAGAATAGCCATGGTTCATCATGATCCTGTCCAGGTTGGCTTTAGACTTCATTCAGGCTGCTCTTTCATTTTTGCTGTTACTCATGGAACGTAGTCCTTTTTCCCAAGGTAAGGGATAGAGAAAAATCTCCACTTCATTTTCAAAGGCCATTTTTACTATTACAGATTTTTAAATTTTATTTCATTTTTTGTGATTCTGTGGATCAAACCCAGAGTCTTCTGCATGCTGAGCAATTACTGTTCCACTGAGCTATATCTCCAACCCACTGTTACCTTTTTTTGATGAGTGTTTACTTCATTCTTATAAATCCCTCTGGTTCTATGGGACTTTTGTTCTTTCTTAGAGTACATAATATGAGGAAACAAGATTTTAAATTTTGTCTTAAGACATGCTTTTTACACTAAGCATTACTGTTATGTTAAGCCATGGCCTTCCTAGCATCTTGCCTGAATGCCTAAGGCTCAATGAGGTCTCTGTGACCTGCTGAGCTGGAACCTCAATATCAATACTGCATGGCACACAGCAGGCAATTTATGCTAGGCCTTCCAGACTTTCCTCATGATATGAAGCCCAGCTCTCGACCAAGGACTCACTGTAAATCTTCATGTAGGCTTCTGAAACCCTCTTTTTCATAGCTACCTACATTCAGAAATGCTACCCCACCGATTTCAGCTATTTCAGTAACCCCAAACTCTTCTTTACATCCTTAACAGAGAGTACCGTTCTCCTTGGGTTTTACCTGCTTGCACCCAAGAAAAAAGTGCTCTTCATCAGAAAAAGCAGGATATTTATAAGATAGTTATGGAGTTCACCTCAGGTGTTTCTTTCCTCTCATGAATCACAGCCATATACTGCTTGCTACCTGATGCCTGAAAAGATATTCTTTATATCATTTTGCCCAGTAGTATAGTTCTTTGCAGGGCTAGAAACAAGTCTGGTGTATATTAATTCCAGTGCACAGTGAGATTGAAACGATTGATATTAGAATTTTTCCTCTGGTTAGTGAAAGGCTGTATTAGTAGTCACTGCCTTAAGAAGAAGCCAGCTCAAATTGAAAGACAAATGATTCAAGAAGTGACTCCATTTTTAAAGGGTGGAGGTGGTTTGGTAGTAAATTAGTTCTCTCTCTCTGCCCTGGGAGATTAGACAAACAATGGATCTAACTAAGAAAATAGACTGACTCATTTGGCTACAATGCTATACTGAAGCTAAAAGCAAACTATCAATAATCTCCAAAAAGGGAATCAGGTTTTATTTACTATAGCTGAATTTTACTGTCAATTCTGACATTTCTCATTGATGAAATTTTAAAATCAGATATTAAATTCATAGATCTAATGGCACTCTGAACCTTGTTTTTTTTATTCTCATCACGTGCTATAAGTAGACCAAAGTCACACAGTTTACTCATTCATTAGCGCTTCTTTAGGATGGTAGTTTTTATTGCAAAAGAAGTGAAAAGTTTGCTGCAATCTCCTTTCCTTTTACTTTTCTCGAGTGTGTTTCAACTACATCTCCTAGTGAGCACCCCATCTTCAAAGGAAAGGGTACATAAAAGAATAGGTGCCGATGAGAACGGAGTAAAGATTCTGGTGGGGAGAAGTTGAATGACTAAGCAATGGGTCATAAGTGAATAAAGGTGGAGTACAGGAGGGAAATAGAATCACAGATCTGGAAGAGACAAGTCATCTGGTCCAGACTCGCTAGACAGGTCAGGAAGGGGCGTTTTTTCACATTTGGACTTAACTTCTCTTGAAATTTGTCAGCCCTTTGCGTTTTTGATTTCTCCTGGGGAAGATATGTGGCAGCTCCTCCTGCATCCCCAGGATGAAGTTCTTCGGAGTGAATTTAATTAGCTTTGAGAATGGACCATTCCTTTTCCAGGAGGTCTGTTTCAGGTTTAGGTCATTCCACTGGCCTCATAATCAACTGAAGGGCAGGTCTCCTGGACACTCAGTAATTCCCTGGGTGGAGAGGAAGGGCTTCTAAACTGATGGTCACACTCCATGTATTTCTAACACCCCTGAGCTGTGAGTACATAATGTGCTGAGACGGGTGGGACTTTGAATTGGTCTTTTTAAGGTAGTTTAAATTCCCATTCTCCGTGACAGAAGCGTACAGTTACCTGCCTTTCCCAACTTACACATCCACAGCCCTATTTTATTATCTGCTAGAAGTGAAACTTTGGCAAGTCATGGTTCTTCAGGGCCCAGCCATCTCTGCTACCCATCCCGAGTGTCTGGATTTAATTCAAGAAACCGTGAGACAAAGGATAGTGGAGGTTATTCCTCTGCTTCATGAGGATGGGGGCTCGGAGACTCAGTACCGAGGTTCGGAAGAGTTGCTGTTCTGCCGACCTCGCCCCTCCCCCACCAGCCAGCGCACGTTCTCCCGCAGAAACGCGCCCCTCCCCGCCTTCCAGACCAGCGTAGACCGAGCACAACTTCCCCTGGGTCGCAGCCCAGCGATACGAGCGGCCCTGGCTCAGAGCCCTGCTCTTCCCGAGTCGTGGGTGGCGCGGCGCTTGTTTCCCTCTCCTCCCTTTCCGGACCCAAACGGGGATGTATCTGGGTCAGCCTGGGAGGGGCTGGACCTGCTGGGGACCGGCGTGGGGGAAGGGGGTGGCGATGACAGCATCTTTCAGGTTTTTGGCATCTCTGGGCTGCGCCTCGTCCAGCCTCTCACCGTGTTCTCGCTGGGCGAGAGCTGACGTTTTGGCCGGTCCAGACCCAAGAGGTGGGTGGAAAGGGGGTGGGGAAGCCCGTTTTTCCTACCCAGACGCCCCCAACACCCCCTGCACAATGAGGCGCCGCTGCCCCCCACCCCTGTTCCCCAGGGCACGCTCCCCGGAGTGGGTGGTAGATTCCCCCGCCCCAGGAAAAGAGCAGTGGAACAGTTCACGGCCGCTGCGAGTTCCTGGTCTTCCTTCCTTTCCGGTGATAAAACGATGGGGCTACAAGCCAGTTGCTGCTCAAGATGCTCCACCCGCGGGCCCAAGCCCCTGCCGTGGCTCTGTGGGGCCCCAGTTTCAGGACCAAGGGTCCCTTTACCTCTCCCAGGCGCTCAGTCTGAGCGGGGCAGCGGGAAGTGCAACCCAGGCTGGGGGGGGGGTAGACCCTGTGGCTGCCTGGCTGCCTGGGATCTTCCTTGCAATGCCAGGGCGGAGCTGGGTATGCATAAAAGCCGCATCTTCCCCCGGTGCTTTGCCCAGATTGCTGGGTGAGGTCCTGAGGGTCATGGTCCCTTGGGTCTGCTCCCGCAAGCAAACTCTGTGTGCGTGTGTGTCTGTGTGTGTGTGTGTCTGTGTGTGTGTGTGTGTGTGTATGTGTCCAGCACCAAGGGACCAAGGCCCCATGTCTTCATTCCCCTGAGGCCTAACCCCTTCCTCCCCAAGCTCACCCCACACACCGGGCAGCTCCAGATTTACAAGTGCTCTTCTCTCCCTCTTAGTGTGAGGAAGACAAGCGAAGCTGTGAGTTGAAAATCATCTCTGGGTTTTTCTGTATTGCACACAGCAATCTCCTTATCCTTGCCCTCGTTCCTTGCGTTTCATCGTTGGGGACTAACGTTTGCCTGAGAGTAGCCTCAGCTATTCAAAACACATGTTCTGTACCCAGAGCCCACGGATGCTCTTTGGCCAGGAGCTTCCCCCAAGGTGCCTGCCTCCTCGGTGCTCGCAGCTACGCAGACGCATTCCTCCTCCCGTCTCACTTCACAGCCAGGCATCTTCTGCCATCATTCCGTTTCATCCACTTCTGCATGAAATCCCATGCCCCCACCCGCCCCGCCCGGCGCAGCGCCCCCTCCTTTGGCTGCGCCCTGCTGGAAGCAGAACGGACAGGGGCGCGCGGGAGGCGCGCACAGCTCTCCGGCTGCCCATGCTCACTGCGCCTGGGGAATTGGGCTGTGGGCGAGGCGGCCCCGGCTGGCCTTTATCGCTCCCCGGGTTCGTCTTTTGAAACTTTATCAGGGAGTCTCACCACTCGCAGCAGACGCGAGCGGGGGGCGGGGGCGAGGCGCCGGCAGCCGTGACAAGGCGGTCCGGCGCTGAGCGCTTCTGCTCGGGGCACGCATGGCGCCCGCACACGGAGTCTGACCTGATGCGGACTCAAGGGGGTTAATATGAACGCCCCTCTCGGTGGAATCTGGTTCTGGCTCCCTCTGCTCTTGACCTGCCTCATCCCTGAGGTCAGCTCTTCATGGTGGTAAGTCCGTGCCCCAGGGTGCGGGGTGGATTTTTGGAGATGGAAGTGTGGACCTCGCTAGACACATAGACCCCTCCAGGCAGCGCTTTCCCGCAACTGTGGCCGTTGTGGATTTAGGCCTGAGCCCCACTGCTGCCTGCTGTCCCAGCATCCTGAACTGAGCCCTTTGCTTTTCTAGCAACCTATTTCACCTTTGACAACTCACATGCCTCTTCAAATGAGAGCTTGGATGTTTGCTTATTTGCTGAGAGACACCTTACCCTGGTCTCTTGCTCTAGCAGAGTATGACTGTGCTTGCGTGTGCGTGCATGCAAATTCATCTCGAAAACTATAACCATCTCTTCCCCTGCCCCCCGCCGTGTTCTCAGAAAACTGCCTCAAGATAAACCAATTCAGGCAGTCAAGAGCTTTAGAGCCCAAAGCTTGTGATTTTGCTTTATTTCCTGTCCTTCCACATTCCTGATGTTTCACCCCAGTGAGGCAGAAGAACATTTTGCTGCCTACAGGTAGAGACTATGGTCTTGATGCAAAGCTCTTGACCCTGAGGCATCCAAGTTATTACCCTGCTTAAAACTGTCACCCCAAGGAGTAACTCTGCTGCTGTCCTTTGTACACTGACCCACAACTTATTTATTTTGTATAGTGATGGGATCTTGGGGGTTAACAGGTATTGCATAAGTAAAAGTTTTAAAGGCATATTCTTGACCTATCCAGAAACTCTTCCCCATCTCTTGACAGATCCTGAAAAGAGATGGAGTTGAGAGCTCTCTAAATTCCCTGTCCCTAAAAGTTTCAGAATCGATATTAAAATGCTGGTTCCAAAAATTGCGTTATAGTGGGCTATTTTTCAAAGAATCTGGCAAGAGTAAGGAATCTCCACCAAAGGAAAGACTAGAGCAGGAATGTTTTAAGAAGACACTGAGCTCTTCAACAGAGCAAGGCAAAGAAAGCCTGGATGGGAAGAGAGCTGCAGCTCTTTCCTAAGTGTGCTTTGAACGAGAAGGTGTGTAGCTGTGACACTGCTGACACAGGATCAAAGACTGATTTATCAGACTGACCATTTTTCAATAAAATGACTATTTCTGTTTCCATAGGTGTATAAACATTATTTATTACTCGGGCATTTTGTCACATTGTCTCTCAGCTGTCACTTAAATATATATTTTGGAAGTCACAGCTGTAACGATTTTATGATCATATAAAATAATGAAAATACAAGAAAAAGACATTCTCCTTGTTTGAGCGCTTCAGAAAACACCTATGGCAGCTTGGGTTTATATAAAAGGTACCTTTCTAAACATTTCACAACTAATAGAGAACATCTGGGTAGGGATGATGATGTAATTTTTTTTTGTTAAAGTTTCTTTTCAAAAAGTACTTTATGGAGCTATAATGCTGATTCTTCCAAACATTTAGTTTCCTTATAACAATAGAAAGAATTATTTTCCAAAGGTTTTCTGTAAAAAGCCAAAAAAAGAACTTGAAAATGGAAATATGTAAAGGATTCTTTAGAAAGGAAAGAGCGGCCTATCTGAGCAGAATGTAGTGTCAGATACCAGCAGGTGTTGGTTAGATAGACTCAGACAGTTTTTAAGATATTAGGTCAAATAAATGGGATTGAAGGGCTTTTAAAGGCCAACTTCTCTCAAAGCCAAGTCCAGACGCATTGTGTCACTGAGAGCAGAGCAGTCCTCCACCCCCCAAAGCACACACCCCAAGACATATTGCCCTCGCCCAGTTCTGTTCTCTGGCTGGACTGCATGTGGACTTCCCCACCACCACCTGCACAGAGCGTCTTGCTGTGGCGCTTGCTTGCTTTATGTGCACGAGACACTCGTCACTCCATGTAAAGGAGCCTTCTGCCGGATCACACCCTATGCCTCCTTTGCCAGCTTCGTCACTGAATTAAATAATCCTTGGTTTCTAATGTTATCACATGCAGAAGGCATTCATATTTGAACAGTGGTTTGAACTCGGGTCTCCTGGCGAACAGTGAGCCTCCCTGGCTATTCACATCGCTCTCGCTTCCATGTTGGCTCCTCACAGGTACATGAGAGCGACTGGTGGCTCCTCCAGGGTGATGTGTGACAATGTGCCAGGCCTGGTGAGCCGCCAGCGGCAGCTGTGCCACCGACACCCAGACGTGATGCGTGCCATCGGCCTGGGAGTGGCGGAGTGGACAGCAGAGTGCCAGCACCAGTTCCGCCAACATCGCTGGAACTGCAACACCCTGGACAGGGACCACAGCCTCTTTGGCAGAGTCCTGCTCCGAAGTGAGTGTCCTCCCTTGGCCCAGCTCCGTGGGCCGCCCTCACAGCTCTCTCCTCATGTGGTCTTCAGAGCCACCACTCGTCTCTTACTAGATTCTATCTCTTCCATCAGTTTGTGCCATGAGGTGGTATTGTCTCATTTTACAGATGATGCCTCGAGAAATCAAGGAATTTTTCTGAAGTCTTACAAGGGCTCAGCCCTAGAGGATGATGTGTACGCTAGGTGGTTGACTTTTCACCTTTTTGCTATATCACTTCAACCATGCTGTTCCTCCTCCTCGGTCAGATTTTGTCCCTAGAATAGAGGAAGCAGCCACAGGGCTCTTTTGACTGTTTTCCTTATCTTTCTAGGGCTTGAACATTTTAGAAGAGTTTGGGCAGAAGATCAGGATGGAATACTCAAATCTTTTATTAGCCAGATTTTTGCAATTTAAAACAAAACATGAAAATAAAGAAGCAGAGACAAATGTTTGTTCTTTACCTCTGACCTCTCAGTTGGCTACTCAGCCTTGAGTCAATCGGTATCTAAATTAAACACTATTTTCAATAGATTGTAAATTCACTAAGGACAAGGACCAGCCTGTATTCCTTGCTCCTTGCTTGGTGTCATGTGTACTGTAGGCCTCGTGCATTTATTACAATTAATGACTGGATGAACTTGTAGTGAGCACCTTCTCTTTTCCAGCTACATTTTCTTATTAGTATATGTTTCAAGTACATGATCATTGTATTCATCGTGGGGACTCAGGACAATTATTTATGGAAGATAGGAGTATGAATCGTGTATACATAAATTTATTTTTCCTTAGAAGATTTAAAGGTTACCTAATTATATAATAAACTTCTTGAAAGTTCTGAATTTTAAAAGAGCTTACTATCTAGTGTATAATTGGAGAAAATCGATTGAAAAGCAGATTTTACTTTCAAATAATACCTATCCACTAACCTGGCATTATCAGCATTATCTATGAAATAACACGGCCAATTTGCTACTGGGAAATCTGCCTGAAAACACAATGGTTTATGTGCAAACCCCAGAAAGTGGGAACTTTACACTTGTTTTTTGCCCACCCCGACACCCCATTCCCAAGAAAATCATCCAGGCTGTGCACTTGGTAATGCTTAACAGAGGGTGTTTCTATCATGTAATCATCACAGCCCTAGGGTTTTATGAGGCCAAATGCATAACTGAATGTCTCTAAAATCCCCCATGGGCGTAGTACTCTCACTCTTAGAGTATCCCTAAAGTTAATTTACTGCAATATTCTCCAGTTTTATTCTCCAGTTTAAGAACTATATTCTTCTGCATTGCTTTTGGACTTTCAATATGACCACAAATTTTTGAAAGAATAATAGTAGTAAATTTCAGCTTCATGGAATTCTGAGACTTCACCTAGATTAGTTCACCAGTGAATCAGTTAAAGTGTTAGAACTTGTCAAAGAGAATTTGCAAGTATCTATCTAGCACAAGTAATCTTGGGATATCTTTGCAGTCCTGGAGTATTAAAAGATGTATAAAGATTTTTCTTTATCAAATTGCTCATAGCCATTTTCTAGTGATTTAAAATTAGTTGCATTTCTCATTTATAGAATGATCTCCTTGAGATCAATTATAATATTTTCATAGTGGAAAAAAGAAAAACCCTTTAGACCACACAAATCAAAGGA